ACAGGAGGGCTGGGGAGGGCCGGCTGACTCCCGGGCAGTGCCAGCGGAGCCTCCTCACCTGTCCATCCTAGGAGGCAGGGCTCTCATCTCCATGCCCACTTTATAGTCTGGTAAACTGAGGCCCAGCAGCTCATCAGGATGCCATAAGGTGGAGTGAGTGGGGGTTGGGGAGCAGAGAAAGGGACAGCAGGGTGACAGGGAGACCCGTGGATTGTCAGTCATGGCGGGGGGTCTGGGACCAGACAGAGCTGGTGCTTGAAGATCAAACAAGGGACAGACTGGACAGGTCACTGAGGGTGAGGCTAGGCTGGAGAGAGAGTGAGGCACTGCCGGATCCCGGGCCCTGTGGGTGGGGGCCCCAGCAGGTGGACTGTCATGGAGGAGCTCTGTGCTCCCCCGGGCCCTCCTCTGGCTTCCCCTAGGCCAGATGGAGGTGGGGGTGAAGCGGGGGGGAGGCCCCCCCTGAGTCCTGTCTCATAGACACAGGGAAGGCCCAGAGCCGCACCCCCATCCTAGTCCTCACAGCTCCACCCACTTCCAGATGGACCCTCGGCCGCGGCCCCTTCCTGCTCCCACTGTCCCCAAAGGTGGCACCCGCCCTCACTTTCCCAAGACCCCCGGGAGCCGGGTGCCATGTCCTTCACCCCCTCAGCCCTTGCTGCTCTGTCCTCACCCACCGGCCCTCCCCCGTCTCCCGCCATTGGCTCCTCCCTGTGTCCACAGCTCGACCTGCGCAGGGCGGCGCCACTCATCTGTGTGCATTTTGCTTCACCTGTTTTCTTGGTTGCTTAAGAATTTTATTGTTTTGACATTTACAGAAAAGTTTAATTTGGGGGAAAAGATTTCAAACTCACAGAAACATTTCAAGGATAAGACAAGGAACACCCATACATCATGCACCCACATCACTGCTGGCCACATTCTGCACATTGCTTCATCATTGGTCCTCTCTCTCCTGTCTCTGTCTCTGTCTCTTTCTCTCTCTGTCTCTCCCCACCCGTCTCTCTCTGTCTCTGTCTATCTCTGCTTCTCCCTCTCTGTCTCTGTCTGTCTGTCTGTCTGTCTCTCTCTCTCCTCCCACCCGTCCTCTATTCCTGAAGACCTCATGGTCTATTTCCTAAGAATGGAGATGTTCTCCACCCAACCACAGCACAGACACCAACAAGTCCACTTCACTGAAACACCCCATGTGTCTCGTCTCCGGGTCTGTCCTCGTGACCTGCCCCATCAGTTGTTTTACTCTCTTTCCTTCTGTGTGGCCCACTTCCTTGCTCTCCGGCACACCAGGACATTCGGGCTCATGTGTGCCCTTGCTGCCCATGGCCCCGTGCTCAGCTGTTCCTCCAGGAGCTCAGGTCAGCTCGTGGAGGATGGCATCGGGGGCCAAGGTCTGGGTGCTTGGCAGCTCCTTGCCTCTTGGCCTCACAGTGGGAAGAGTGGGAAGAGCTGGGGACACAAACCACCCACACAGGCAGACCCCCCGACCTGTGTGCAGCCAGCCTCGCCCACCAAGCCTCCTTCCTTGGCCTCCAGTGCCCCTTCCGTGCTCCCCGCTTCTCTCCCCACTCCCCCCGCCACCCTGCAGTTTGGCACCTCCCCGGCCCTTCCCAGCCACAGCCCAGCCGAGGTCTCCTGGGGCTTCCCACAGCTACACGCCATCCCTGACCCCAGCATCGTCCCCTGCAACTTTGCTGTCCTCCTCTTCCCTTTGGGGCTCCCTCCTGGGCAGCGTCCAGCTTGGGCCCACAGGAGTTGCCATCTTCTCCCCTGCCCTGCCCACCAGTCACTTCTGAGGACACCCAGACCCCACCCCCAGCCCGGACCCCTGCACCCAGCAGCCTGTGCCTCCCTTCCCTGGGAATCTCCCCGGACCCCAAACTCATAGCCCAAAGCCAGCCCCTACCCTGCTCTGGGCTCCCTCCCTGGGGAACGGCCCCCTCATCCCCCACGCTCAGGTCTAGGCGCCCTGGCCACCTTGTCCACCAAGTGCTGGGAGCTCTGCCTCTTAAACGTCTCTCCTCCGCGGCTGCCCTCCCCGCTAGGAGGCAACCGTGGCTCCTACGCTCTCGCCCCGCTCCAGCCTTGCCTCCTTGCTGCCTATTCTCCACACTGCACAGATCTTTCTAGAATGCAGAGCCCTCGCCATGTGCCAGGTGCGGGGCTACACGCTTCCCACAAGCAGCCCCATTCGGCCCTCCCTGTAGCTGTGTGGACACAGGCCCACCCAATCGGGGACACGAGGGTGGCCCAGCGGCAGAGAGACGAGGATTGGGTGGGGCCGGGCCCAGAGCGGGGTTGGATGTTTGCTTATTGGTTGGGTTTGGTTTACACAGTCCTATTACTTCATTCATTCACTCATTCACTCATTGGAAAATGTAACCAACACCCATAAACCCTCTCTCCTGCCCAAGAATCACAGCGCTCCCCAAATCTATGCGACTTAGGTGCTTTCAACCATCTGCCCCTGCCCAGCCCACCACCCCAGGGAATCACCATCTGGAATTTTGTGTTTGCGATTTTCTTGCCTTTTAGTTAAAAAGGTCATTTCCTCATATAGTGAGTCTGCCCAAACCCGATGGAGCTGAGTGCCGCCTGCGGGAGCCGGGCCCCGGCGTCCTGCCTCGCCACTGCCCCCGGGAGAGATTCACCCTCCTTTCCTGGTGGGCACGGCCCCTAGACAGCAGCCCGGTTCACTTTGCCGCATCTTCTGCGGGCACCGCCTCTATCGCCAGGCGTTCTGGCCACCAAAACCAGCTCCTTGAATTCACTGTCTGCCCGCTCTCGGCTGCACACGGGAATGTGCCTCGGCCTGGAACGTCCCTGGGTCCCGTGCACCCTGCCTACAGGAGCCGGCAGCCAAGGCCTCGGGTACGGGGCCAGGGGCATTGACAAGACTGGGCCCCGAGCTGCAGGGTCTCCCGCTGAGCTGGAAGGGCCTGCGGGCAGCTGTTCAAGAACAAGCCGGATCCCGGGGCTGGAGCGGGGCCCCCGGGGGCGGTCATGGGGAAGGCCATCAGGGCAGGCTGACGTCGGTCTGTCCCTCGAGGCAGCCCAAGGCTGAGGCAGCTGTCCTTCCTGTCTCCAGCCCCCGGCAGATCAATCGCTGGGGCTTCCGGAGGACAAGAGCAAGCTGGACAGCCACTCCATCACCAGGCCGCTGCCTGGCCTCCCCCGACTCCCCACCAAAGATCTGAGCAGAGGGACCTTGGCAGGCCACTACATCATCCCTCACAGAGGACGCTGACAGCCTTGGCCCTGCGGTGACTGTCCTTGTCCAGGCCTGAGGGGGACAGCGTCCCTTCACGTGCCAGGAGGGCTAGGGCCTTGGGGCTGAGCAGAAGGGACATACAGGCCCTCCTGCTGGGCCGGAGTGGGGTCAGGTTGGCCTATCCTCAGTCCCCTGGTGGGAGCACGGACCCCAGCGCAGGCGTGACCTGCTCTGTGGGCACAAGCCACCCTGGGAGGGCCGTCTGACCCAGGACTGCCCGCAGGTGCCCCCCATGGGAGGATCTGGGGTCTGAGGAGCAGGCTGGAGGAATGGGGGGTTGCCCACCTTGCACGGGAAGGCGTGCCTGCAACAGCCCCCTCCCGGACTTGTGTCGTGTGGAGAAGGTCTCTGGGCCCGCGGGGTCCCCAAGGATGACTATGCCAATGCACAGATGACCTCATGCTGAGAAGAACTGCTCAGACATGACCAGGCCATCTGTCTCCAGGCCCCGGGGAGCTCACGGGGCCTGACCACTGACCGCACCAAGCAGCCCAGGATGCAGGCTGAGGTGGTTCCAGCCCTGGAAGCGGCCCTCTCAGCCCACCCAGCCTGCAATCCCTGAAGCCCATGCATGACGGCCCCTAGCCCCCACCCTGGGCTTCCCGGACGCTGACACGCTGGCACACCATCATCTGACGAGGCCTTCCCAGAGTGAGGCGCAGCACTGGAGGTGGCCCGGCAGCCCGGGGACAGCGAGGCTGGGGCGGGACAGACCAGAGAGTCACGGGGATTGGAATCCTTTATTGACAACTGAGATGAGCCGGGTCCTCCCGCGCGGGGCTCTGTCGGCCTCTCTTCCTGCCCACTCTCCTGGGAGTTGGGAGCTGGGAGCACCAGGCCAGCC